TTGTACTTAGCCAGGGTCTCTGTTGCCTGCTTTAAAATACACTCAACAATTCTGCACTGCCCACCACAAGCATCCACAGGGATGTCTGCATACAAAAAAAAAAAAAGCAAAAAAAGCCCCAAACAAACAACAACAACAAAAAAAAAAACAAACACCAAAAAAAGCCAACCAAAACCCCAAACAAACAGACAAACAAAAAAATACTCCAAGCACTGCAGCATTGTTGGATGAAGGCAGGAACTGAAAAAATAGAACAAGCAGTAAAATGCCCCATAAGGGTCTACAGGCCTGTAAGCCCGGCAGCAATCACTTGTATGCAATAAAACATACGAGACTTGAGCACACGACTGTGCAGCAGCAGGTGCAGCAATGAGACGTGATGGATAAGGAAGGTAGGAGACACACCTCCAGTGTCCCCTGACCCCCTATTTGATACACACAGAGGAGCAAAAGTGACCATCCAATAGCACATCAACAACATACTCAAAATGAGCGGCTTTCCTCCACATGTTTCTGCACTTCAGTACAGTTGGGTCACATCATATTGACACCTGCTCAAAACTCACCTCTCACAACCTATTTCCTCAGCTGACAAGAAGCAGACATGAGGTGTTATCACCTTAGTGGGCACAATTCTGGCTGGCACAGAGGGACACTGGTGGCTGCGGTTACACATCTGCACCCAGGCCAACTCTGCTCTGCTGGTTTTATCGCTATCTGCTTCCGGGTTACAAGCCTTTCAGCACCCTCAGTGTTGAGTAACTTCATGCCCCCAAGCACCATAAAATTCTGCAACCACAGTAACCTACAGGGTAAGGATGGCTATGAAATCATGTCCTAAACTAGGACCTGAGATTGGAAGAGTAGGAGGAAGTCAGGAAATCCCAGAAGATGATGGGGGAGGGATTTAGTCTTTTCAGAAAACAATAATGAAGTTTAATCTATTTTTCTTTCCACTTTACACACTAAAATAAGCTTCTCAGCTTCTGGAGCTGTCACAAATCATAAGGAAAATAAGGCCACTAGAACCCCATCAGTAGAATAAGAGCTATATAGTAATAATCCTGAGGAGGTGTGCAGTGCTTTCCATCTTCAAAGTGTTTTACAGACAGTACTTTTTTAATCTGCAAATTTCCCCTGGCCATAAGCAAATGCTCTGCCTCTCTGCTAAGCACAAGACACGCAGCTCAGATCAGCACTTGGGAGAGATGGTGCTGGCAGTAGCTCTGACCTCCAGAGCCAGACTTCAGTTTCTGACTCACTGCAGTCACTTCGTAGCTCCAGCCACCACCTGAATCCAGAAGAACTGGTGACATCCAGCACTCTGGAGCTGACTTCAGTATCTGAAAGCCTCTGGTACAGGGGAGTGTAAGAGACATTCTCACAATCCAGCAAACAACAGCAAAGCCTGAAACAAAATCCCCAGGACAGAGGCTCCTGGGGGCCTTACAGACACTGCCTGCCATGCTGGGGTGTCACTCTGGGCAGAAGCTGGCCCCAGTCCCAGGCTCATCATACCACACAGCCTGTCTGATAGCCCTCAAGGGAGCTGTCAGAGGAGTTTCCTATGCAAACATGATGCTGCCTCCCACCAAAGGGCTATTTATGCACAGCAGTTACCTGTTCAAACTAGGTGGGTCCTTCAGATAATCAACATGAGGCTGCTCCTCTCTCCTGGCAGCAATATCTTTCTGCTTTTCTAACTCCCTAAGACAGTACTCTTCCCAGCACTCACCCTTCAAAAGCTGGAAGCTCTTACACAAAGAGAGAGCAGCCTGATTAGCAGAAAGAGAAAAATGGAACAAGGTGCACAACTACAGCTACATCTTCTATGTAAGTCAGTATCTAACATAGGCCAGCTTTATTTGGAAACAAGAAGATAACATTATAACATTACATTTGTGTTTTGGTGGGGTTTTTTTGTCTAACTGGTTTTTAGTCTCTTTTGAGCCACTGTATATTTGTATGACATCAGCAGTGCCAATGAAATCATTTTAAGACCAAAACTGGATTCATCAGGCCTTGCTATCCTTCAATGGGTATCAGAACAGCTGGGTTAATTAAGCATCCTACAACACAAGTGCAGAGACCTAGGCTTTATTTTCCATCTTAAGGATGGCTTAGCTGAAGGAAGGAAAGCAGAAGACCCCAAGTATCATTGTAAACAAACTCCCAAAGGTCACAAGAAAGGCATTCAAACCCAGTACCTGCAGATTCATGTATATTCTCAAGACCAGAAAAGATTTGGCCTTGCATAAAACAGGAGTGAGTAGCAGAGTCCGGCACAAATTCATTCTCAAGTCTCTTACTCTACACTACTCAGACCACATTTCTTTCCTCTTCCAGCTTGTGGCTCCCTTTCAGCAAATGACTTTTTTTCAGCACCAGCCTCCATAGACAGCAGAGCCCAAAGAACAGATGTTTACAACCACAGTGCTGTTGGCAAAATCTGCAGGGGGCAAATAAAGTTTGCAGATTTGTCTCTCCAGTAAGAAGAAATAGGGTAAAGTGCAACGCTGGAGCTTTCTGACACACTGCCAGGGAGATTGTCATACTCGCTGAACTGGACGGAAAGGCCATCTGCATTAGAGCCGGAGCAGTGCTGGTGTTTTATAGCTGGATTTTATCGAGTGTTGGCTCCTCATCCCCTCTGTAAGCTCTGAGAGCTTGGGATTCAGCCAAGCCAGTACCCCTGGCTTGGGTGTTCCCTGGTCAGTGTTGCTGATCATGCTGCTGCCCTGGGAAGGGCTGCAGGGGCAGGCAGGAAAAGGGACAGCAAACCATGACAGGTCTCGTGCCTCTGGCTCCAGTCTTCCCCAGTCCCCTGCCAGCCTGGGCTGAAGAGAGAATTGGTCCTGACAATACAGCATTAGATGTCTCTAATAGCAAATCACAGAAAAAGACACAGCTGAAATGACAAATCCCTACCAAGTTACACATCTTAACTATCCCAAGAACCAGGTTCCCTAGTGAGAGCTCCGCATACCCATTGCCTCACACATTGTCAGGAGATCACTGTGGCAGCTACAGACTGTGTACATTCACTCCAAATAACCTCTGTTGTGCTTCCTCCACCTTCACTCCCTGCTCCAAGAAGAAAAAGCAAGTTACGTTACAGGTGCTGTAACATTATCAGAGCATGTCCAGTCTCCCACACAGCTCTGTATTTACAACTTTGCAAGGGTGAAACAAGCTGCAGTTGCATTTTGGTGCCAGTCTCAGGAAACCCTGCAGTGTAACAGAGGGCTGCACAGACGGTTGCCTCTCCATCCAAGTACAAACTAGCCATCCAAGTCTGTCATGAATAACAAAAGACATTTTGACAGTCCAAAGTGGTTTATGATGTCCATGGAACAAAAAAGGAGCTCTGAACTGAAAAGTGAGTCTGTTGCCCGTAGACCTGCAGAAATGAAATACATACACTAGAGTGGATTTGCAGAAGAAATGTACTTTAACTCACCAAATGTCCCATGTGCCACACTTTGACACTTACATTCTTGGGGCACTCTACAAGGGCTCTAACCATAGAGAAGAACTCCCCTAAAGGATATTTTAAAAGCATTAAATACCTCACAGAAATGCATGGAGGGTTCTGCCTGATCAGTTGGCACAAGCCAGTGTGACCCAACCACCAGAGTTCCCTTTTCACAGCTCCCAGCTGACACACTCAGCTTTTAGAGTTGCTCTAACATTTCCCAGGCAATCCTGATTCAATTGCACCTACCTCCCATTTCTGAAGAAGTCCAAGATGACTGAAAGTGGGGTGTTGTAACGCTGCCTCAGCAGGAGGAGGATATTGCGTTGGTGGAGAGCGGAACAGCACATCCAGAGATACATGCAAAGCAGGGATTTTCCCAGTGATTAATGGCAAGAACTCCTACTACCTAGGGCTTAGCGAAGGAGACCTGGTCTTTGCTGCTTCCCCATTGTTCATCATTTCCACCAGGCCGCTTTCAGACGGGATGGGACATCCCCTACTGAACGCTACAGCCTGCTGTGAATGCCTTGGGCATTCCACAGCCCTTGGGCATTCTGCAACCCTTGGGCAACACAAGGAGAAAAGACTCCCAGGCTTGAGCCTCTGCAATGAGTCCTGCACTGAGATGAACCTTGCTGAAGTGCATGTTGTGAATCTGGCCCAAATATTCAGTGTGGTCCAAGAGACAATGATACAAGAGCTGTTCATCTGCTCAGGGTATTAAAACTGCTCGTTTGCCAGCACTGCAGAGGGGCAAAGGCTCATGGGGGAGCTTGTCAATCCCCTGCACAGCCCTTATTTCTGGACATTTCCCCTTATAAAGCCTGTGTCTGTTCTTTCCTCCCTCCCCCTTTCCACTTGCCTCCTGTAAATCATGCTGTCTCTTTCCATCCCCAAATAGGAAGTCCAGAGCAGAGACATGCACAATCTGCCTCTTTACAAGAGCTGGGCTGAACGTGTGCCAGAGGAGCTGCAAGCATGACAACATATTTCCTGTCAGGAAAGTGACTCAGTGAGATGGGTATGAGAGCTCGCCTTATGAGAAGTTCCTCTCTCCCCTTGCATGGCTGAAGCATGAGTCAGAATCAAGAGCTGGAATCTCAGTCCCCTCCAGATCCAAGCAGGAATAGCAGAGTTCAGGTTCAAGACGAGGTCCTGTTTGCAACTCAGTGACAAAGCAGCACCACCTGCTAAGCCCTGGTTTCACCCCTCACAGAAGGGGAATAACAACACTGACCAAGTGGGCAGCTTGAATTTGCAAAGTACTTTTAGGTTGAGGAGGTACTTACTGCTATTTGGTAACGTACCCATTTACACCATGCTTATATAGGTGAGCATTATACAAAACCCACACAGAATTAACATCATGTTCATGCATTCTGCTGAAGTGTTTTATACATGAACATTTCATCCAGGAATATTTTAAATGCTAAAATATCACTGTAGCCAGTTTTCTTTCTCTGGCCTCAGACCAGCTCTTCCCATGATAAGTGAGCAGACCCATTGCATGCCAGGTCCTTACCAGAACCGCTGCCAAAGGTGACCATCCACAGCCAGAACACAACCAGCATGACACTGACCATCTTCATCCTGCTGAGACAAAGCACACAGCGTCAAATAACCAGAACCTCTATTATTTCATCACTGCAGACAGCTTTTTAATTTTGAGTTTATCTGTTTATTCCTCCACCCAGTAATCCTTTAATTCTTGTATGTTCTTTTTGTATTTCATTAATATTCCTTAAGAACAGCGTCTGTATGGCAGAGTCACTCTGCCTGCAGGCAGCTGCATGCACTCTACAGTCCTGGCAGGCAGTGGCTCTGAAAAGAACAAGTTAATTGACTTAAGTCACTGGAATAGCCTATATATCCATGAGCACAAGGAGTAAGGTAGATACTTGCAGGCTAGAAATCCCAAGCTTTTACTTCCAAAACACCAAGGTCCTTTGCCAAGACCTCATTCTGCTGGTTTCTGAGAAGGAGTGCAGAAAGTATGCGCAATGGCAAATGGCAGGGCAGCTGAAGAACATTTGCACTGAACACATATCTGACAGTTTAGCATGACAACCATGCTGGTACAGTCTGAATTTACAACGTCTGCTGCTGGTGACCTGCTGCCAGAGTCCTGACTGCTTCACCCCACACCTGCAGGCAGGACACGGCTCTTTCCAGGCAAACCCTCCTTCAAACAGCCACCTTACAGGAGTAAACTATCGCCAGATTTGTACGCTTTTTGGAAATGATCTGAATAAAAGTTTGTGCTTTAAAAGTGGCACTGATAGACAAACAACAACCCCAGACTTCCCTATGCCGACTACAGAGCACAGCTTTCTGAAATTCAGGATAAATGAACACTGCCAGAGTTTTACTCGCCATCCACTCTGGTACCTGGCATTCAGCTCTCACAGCCATTCACACACTGGAATTAAATTCTCCTGTGTTTCTAGATTTTCCAGGATGCAACTTATAAGCCAGTAGTCATGAAAGCTGACATTTACTAGATGGTGTCATTAATGGGGTGAAGGTTGCATTTCATATTCCTGGATGCTGTCAGAGATGGGAGAAGAGATGGTTAAGAGGCTGAACTTCATTAAAGCACCTTAGCTCTGCCAGGCAGATGCAGTAACAAGCATGGTGATACTGTCAGGAGTGCACTCATGATGCTGCTATACAGACTCATGAGGGAATCTGCTCCACCAGGATGAGCTAAAATGGTGGGGAAAGAAGTAACAGAGCTCTCTTAATCATGTCCCTTATAAACCTGCCCATAACATATGCATTACACAGAAGGGCTTTGAGCATAAGCAGAGAGCACCTAAGACTGCAGAGATTAACAAGAATGGGAGATGTGAACTGCACTACTCAAAATGCCGCAGCGGATATTGAATCCTTCCTTTTCAATGCTTGCTTCTGAAAGGCCTTTGTATGATGCTTTCCCTCTGCTGGGCTCATCTCAAAGAGACAAAGGAAACCCGGAGCAAGCCTGTTCTTCTTTGCACAGGCCACACAAAGGGCTGCAGACTGCCGCAGAAGCCATCAGCCTTCAGAAATGGGCAAGAAACTAGGAAGAACTAGGAAGAGTTTTCTTTCTGGGCTCCAGCTGAAAGGGCTGCTTGTCTCCTACCTCCTTCATCCAAACCAAAGTGCCAGCTGCTAACCAAACCTTTCTCTATTGCTATCTACAACCAGCTCTCAATATCACTGAAGAAGACTTCATAGGGAGGTAATAAAATTAGTTTGGTTTAGTACTCCTACACTCTGAAAATGCTGAAGATAGTTCTTTATGCCATCAGATTGGGTAGAGAGAACCAACACGCTACACTTTGGGTAAGAATTTAGGAACTTTTGAGAATTCAAATGCTAGAAGAGAAGGAGCGTAAGCATAAAAATCCGTCATGGGTCCCTCTCCATTTGTCATTAGATAAATGCACAGTATGTCCTAACTCACCCTTATTTTCCAGTGATTCTCTCCTGCATTTTGCACAAATAGGAATGAATTCAGCCCTGAAGCAAGCAGGAACAACTACTGACTTTGGATGAGTTTCTCTTGATTAGAGCAAGGCCATTTACATGGCCCCAGGCCAAAATAAGCTACTATGCTTTACCCTGTGATACATGAACTCTGCAGTCAGCTAATATTTACAGCCATTAACTACGCTCATAGGAATATGCTTCTCTCAACTGTCTCAAAGAGCCACCAGGCTTCTCTTCCCACAAGCAAGGTATCCTAAAGTTCCATACTTTGCCTGCTAGTAGGAATATTCTTGTTCCATGCTTTGCCTGCTAGTAGGAATATTCTTGTTTCTTGCTCTACCCAGCTATAAAATCAAAAGCCCTAAACAGTGTGATTCACTTCTGGTTCATTCCAGGCTCCCCAGAGATGTTTCCAGTGGAGCTAGGCAGGCACAGAACCTGTCAGGTTACAGCAATTTCTCTGCTATAGGAATGGGACTCAGCTGACCACAGCTATACAAAATAAAAGGGGCCATGGAAGGCATGCTGCACAGAGTCAAGGGCTGGTCAAGGGGAGCCACCACAACCTCCTGGATGCCCTGACCATGCCAATATTTGCCAGGCAAGGTGAAGGAAGAGGATTTTCCCCTTGGGTAAAGAAATTGTGAGGTTGTACACACAATGAAGGAGATAAAGGGGACTGTAAGGCAGGATGGCTCCTGCAGGATGACTTCTGCATCCAGCTTTGTTCCTGTAGCACATGGTTATTCAAAAAACATATCAATTACTTCCACAAGATCTGATGGTTTGTACTACTAACACAGCAGGGGGACCAATTCTTCTGCACTAGTGCTGCTGCCACTAGGAAGCTTTGCTTTAAATGGCCCAAAAATCTGTGCTATATCCCCGAAAAGAAAGATCTTTCCACAGAAGCCCTGTGGTCACATAATGTCATCATTTCTCCCAAGGAAGATTATGTGATTCTGCCAGTGACACCAGGTAAAGAGCATTGCATCCATTCAGCCACAGAGAGGTGGGGTGGGTTTTGCAATGCATGTAAGAATCTGATGCCACAAGACTACAGCCCACCCCAGTCTTGCCAGGAACAGAAGTTTTCTCAACCTTTTCCAGCAACCTGCTTCTTTGTCTGGGACATCAGAAAGCATTTTGTCTGTATATAATGCAATTCCAGTAGTGTCTGATTAACTTCCTGCACAAGTGAGTATCACTGCACTGAAACTCGAGTACCCCTGGCTGCAACCAAAGAGACTGCAAACCCCAATCTGCACTGGAGTGTTTCAAACAGCTGCATCCACACAAAAAGGTCACAGACCTCACCTCTAGTACACAAGCGACTGAAATAAAAAGTAAATGCTAAAGGGAACCAGGAATAAAATCAAAGAGCAGAGGAGCATAACAGCTCAGAAATCCCACCATGTCTAAAAAGCAGGCAATCAGAGCAGCCAGAAGGCTGTGAGTGCTCCAATACATCCTCAGCACTCCAGAAACTTCTCACAAGACCAGTATGCTCCGAAGTGTTCTTAATGTCTCCATAAATTAACATTCCAACAATAATTCGTAGAGCAGTTAGGGAAAACAATCCATCACTGGTGTTGTGCTGTTGCTAGAAATTTTTTAAGGAACTTATTTGAAATGGTTTTTGTTGTTAGTTTGGTGGTGGGGTTTTTTGGTGGTTATTTTTGGTTGGTTGGGTGGGTGGGTTTTTTGGGGGGGAGAGGGTGTTGCTTTTTTGTTTGCTATTTTTTTCCTCAGATCAGAAATTCTTTCCTTTTCATTTCTGAGCATTTTATGCTTCAAACTTTCACCTTCTGTCTATTGGGCAGCGAAGAAAAGCAGGGTGGAGGGAAACACAGCCATGGAAGTGTCTCATGCTCTTAAAAGCAGAGGCTGTGGAAAGGTTTGGGCTTTCATTTGATACTGGCCAGAAGTGGCCTTTATGTCAGAAAAGGTCATGAGCATTTTCATAAAAAAACATCTTTTAATAAGACACCCTTCCCAAGCAGACCTAGGCAAGGAATTGTTCACTCCTGCCTTTAGCAGCATGGACCCCACAAAGCCTACGCACTTTCCAAGCAATTATAAAAACCAAGACAGATGCCAAATAAATAACGAGGAGAGCTGCACTCAAAGTAACTCCTGTACACCTATTCTCAAAGTCACGGTACCAATTCTAGAGAACACAGCCGCATTTTCCAAGAAAATGCCTTTGTCCCTCCTAACCACCAGCACCTAGGGAGAGCTGACAGGTTTTTTGCTTTTCAGTGAGAAGTCATGCTACAGCATGTAGAACAAAAGCCCCCTTCAAAACCTTGCCAGTAAGTACTCTGGCTGAAAGGACATTTAAAATAAAGCAGTTTCAGAAAGAGGAAAAAAATAACATCAGCCAGAGCTGGGTTTACATATCATTTTCTTTACGTAATTCTGTACCAAGCCCTCTGAGTCAAAAGCATTCAAGAGCACAGGACTGGCCTCAGGAAAAAGATGCAGACACAGGAAGGTTAGCAGAAACCTTAGCTTAAGAAATGCTTTGCTTCAATGCTGCATTGAAGGGCACTGAACAGAGCTGAAGGGCTGTAGAACAAGGCTGGTGTTCAGGAGAGGAGCACAGCTTCTCTACTCCCATACTGCTGCATGCCCATGAGCCCTGGGTTCCTGCATCATCACACAGCAGCATTGGAGAAAGCTGCTCTGTGAGTTTGCTGGGTTTTATTAAGGAGAAAATGCATGTACAGTCCAAGTAAATTCAAAGAATCCAAAAGGCAAAGAGCAGCCTGCAAAAGTAGCTGCAGAAAAGTAATAGCAAAAACACTAATGGAAAGTGGGAAAAGGCCCTTCAGCTCTCCAGGAAACACTTTTGCTTTTCAGTATGTGCAGGAGTAATTCAGGCAAAAGAAGGAATTACTGTAGCATAAACCATCTTGGTGGCACTTAGCCAGGATTTGCGCAGCATCTCTCTGACCTGCCTCTCCTCCAGAGGCTGTGTGGGTACCACATGGCACTGCTTTTCACTGCAGCCTCAGCATTTCCACTTGCACCCCTGCCTGGAGCAGGACCACTCCTGCTTTGAGCTGGCCAGTCCTGCAGACAGCCCTCCTGAGCAACACAGCGTTACATCA